GTTTGGACCTTTCTAACTTTATCCAGCACATTTACTGGAAGTTTACTGGAAACCTTGTAGCAGAAGAATTACTTTACACAACAGCCAGTTTACTGGAAACCTTGTAGCATTTACCTTTCTGTTAATGAACTGAATTTTCTAAAGGTTTCGTTGAGAAAAAAATCTTGCTGAGTCATTTGGATTACATTAAATAGAGCTTTTTTTTAATGTTTTAATTATATTGTATCAATCATCTGGTTAAAAAAAATGTTTTTATTTTTTTGTTCATGTGACTCAACAATAGGCAATCTGAATTAATGGACCACTTAATAAAATTTCACTTCAACTGACTCCAGCTCTTATTTCTGTACTTTGAATAAGTTTGACAAAGTAACAAACAGTTGTGTTATTCAACAAACAGTTCAAACAGTTATCACAACTGTTTGAACTGTTAACAAACAGTTCAAACAGTTGTTTAATTAAACATTATTTTTTTTTTTTAATTTTTAGCACAAGTCTTTATCTACGTAATAAGGTGTGATGAAATTTCTTGAAACCAACAATATCCTTCAGTTTCTCGGCAAACAAAATATGATTTATACTTTTATTGAAATTATGGCAATTGAAATTATAAACATACAAATTTTGCTTATACAGTCAAAAGTCTTTAATCCGGACTCATCGGGACTCCGATGAGTCCGAATTATCGATTTTTCCGGATTATAGATCATACGTTTAAATCTGGTAAGATGGCATGCAGAAATTACAAAATTAAAAATATGAAAGCGTAATTTATAAAATAATGAGCAATTATGATCTAAAGGGTATCAAAATTTACAAAAAAAGAAGCTTAATATTTATTTGTTTACTTTATTAAACATTTCTTTAAACGCGCGTATGCGTAAATCATACCCTACGCATAGCCGGAATTACAAAATTGCAACCAGAAAACTATTTGATTTGTATTCGTGATATTTATAATGACGACAAATTTGATTTAAATCATATCAAAGACGGAGTACATCGAGATTAAATACTACATTTAATAAGGAATTATAAGCCGAATAAAATAAAAACATCTGCCCTAAAGATAACGATAGTGCTGACAGATCAACTTCCAGTTCATATGCCTTTATCCATTTTTTATAGCAATTCGTTTTTTGTTTGATGGACATCGAAGCATACTTTCGTTTTCTAGATCCTTTGGGAGCTCCAGCATCGGAAATTCTATTTGACATCATTGAAAGTTCAAGTTTACTTTTATAAAATTGCTCTTACAGTCTTCAAAAAATAATAATCCGGATCCAATTCGAAGATTAAGGAACAACGCAATCATCAACATTAACTGAAATAGATAATTATATAATTTTAGCTTATACCGTCCGTTTTACATTAAACGCGTACGCGAAAACGTATTCTGCGCTTGCGCAGACACATATGCGCAGTCGAAAATGTCTTGCGTGCACGCGTAAAACGCCTATACGCATGCATCAACGCGGCGCATGCGCAGAAAGGTTTTAGCTTTGAGGTCCGGATTATAGATCATTCCGGATTATGGGTGTCCGAATTAACGACTTTTGACTGTAATAAGCTACGGATGTGGTCAACTTAGGAAAGGCTAAAGTTTTCCCTAAATCGAAAGAAAATATGAAAAATTTTTGGACGCTGCCATTCAATTTGTAGCCATATGACTATGAGCCTGTTCAGACTCTTCTAAGAGAGTTTCCTTTTCAATTTTTGCTATATGAATTCCCTCACCATCTGAAGACTCAATCTTTATCTGCTTGCAAAGAACCACAAGTTTGAAATGTATCCTTAGATGGTTGTTTAAAATGTAAAATAAATTTTGTAGAAAACACCCCATAGTAATATTTTTCTTTCACTGGTACTAACATTTTCCTTTTCATATTGTGTGTAGTTCATACATTTTCTTAATATTTAAGTCAGGATTTAAATATTGTTATCTTGGGTTATGAGCTTTGGTGTAGTGACTAGCATAAGCTAGGACTAACTCTATACATTTTATGTGTGTCATCTATTTTATTACTTGCAACATGACCATTGAACTGATCAACGAAATACATAACTTCTTTAGAACATTTCTTGTATATGTGCCCATCACACACCTGGTGTGTGTCCCTAAAATATTTTTTGCAAGTGGGAGTACCATGTCTGTCTTTTCGAAACTAAAATTTAAAGAAATGTGATCTTGGTTCTTCAGTATTATTCATGTCTTCTTTTTATTTCTTGGGCTTTAATTACAAACTCTTAAGGAAATATTTTGCACAAATTGGCCAAGTAAACTATAAAATGCCTTCATGGCAACATCTCTCCAACCCAAAATAGTTTTGTGATTGCACTTCTGACGACATTTGCATATTTAATCAACAAATGTTAAACTGTTCATATATGCCAAACCTTTTGTTCTCTCATATTTTTGTAAATTTCAGACCTAAATATCAGCATTATGACTTCTTTTCCTCACAATCAATGTATTTGTTGGAGTGATTTTACTGTTGCAACCAGAAGAATTCGAAGAAAAACATAACTGTCTTCTTCAGAGAAACTTTATGTTAATAAACTGTATTGAAGAATCAACATATGATTAACTCCCCCTTCAAATTATTATTAGTCTCATTCATCTTGATTATATTGGCATAACATTTTTCTTAAAAATAATCATCAAATTGAAATAATTCTTAATAAAAATTCAAATACAGCTTAATTCTACGGCAACTAGAATATGACTAATTTATTTTACTTTAATTCTGATAAAATGGCACTAAAAAATGTACTGTTATCATTCAGCACATGCTATTGAATTTGATACATACTCAATATGCAAAATGTATTATACATGCTTAAAATGTATTATACTATATAATATATTACACTCAAAATCAGCAGTTGAATTGTTACAATGATTTACATTACAAAGTTAATCAATAGCTGCTGAAATAAATTATTTATTATTCAATGGCCAAAAATATTTGATGGTTTAATGGTGTTAATATTTCTAATTTGGGAGATTTATCATAAATATAAAAAATTATAACTCCGCCAAGTGCTCACACATGTAAATTTAATATATTTCAAAAAGTAGAATTAACTGATTTGCGCAGTGAACAGCTCACATGAGAGTTTTATAAATTTTACTACTGGAAGTTCTCTGTATAAATAACGTACAAATATTATTGCTTGATCTCATTAAAATGGGTTATAGATAAAAAATTTAATCAATCAGAATTGGCTGTGACGATTACCTTCTAAAATATGATATATAGGAATACTAACAGAATGCTCCCTATGCACAGTAATCTAACCAAGAATAGTACGGATTGGATTATTTGTAAAAAGCACAAAGGGTTATTTGTTTAGAAAAGGAATGGAAGATTTAAGGAGAACTAAATCCTATTCAAAATCTGTACCAAATTAAGGTTTTAAAAAAAATTAAAACTTTACATTATTTTCCTTCCAATCTGAGTCTTAAGCATATTTCTATCGGATGGAGCAAAATAAACCAAAGCAAGTGAAGTCTGTCATACCTGGTTCACTTTATTTTGGGCACCCAATATTATAGCACTTTACAGTTCATGTGTTCATTTGCTTTGGATCCAGTTTTTTCTTGGGCCACCTATTATCTCTACATATAATAAAAGAAAGAGTCTGTGTGTGTGTGTGTGTCTTTCGTTCAAGCTGCGTGTAAGCTAATAGACCCATGGCTTCAAAATTTGGTACATAGGTGCATCTAGACGAGAGCCAGTGCACCTCGAAGCGCTTTTTTCGAAATTCGAATTAGAATTTTTTTTAATTTTATGTTTGACATGAAATCGCACCATTTTGAGACATAATGGGTTAGGAAAGCGAGATTTTACTCTACACAACTCCATTTTCACATCGTCATAAAACGTAGGCACTTAGCTATTTTACGAACTTAAAATAAATTTTGTGTTTCAATAAATCGATTAAATACGAATTTATTTTACAAAGTCAGCTTAACACCTTTTCAATAGGATTTTTTCAAAAAAATTTATTTTTAAAAATGTACAGTTTGTTTTTCTTGCAACTGCTTTTACAAAAAAAATTTTGGAAAAATGATAATATTTTGTATTTAAAAAGAAATTTTTTTAATGAAGCTTCCAAGTACACTTCTCACATCTGACATCTTTAAAAATGTGATTTTGGCAACAATTTTCCTTTCTTATTCTTGATAGATTTTTGATGAAATCGCATCATTTTGAATAGTTGCATTCTTTTAGAAATATGGGTTTGGCAACAATTTTTCATCGTATTTCTTATGTCACTGTTTTTTAAGAGATTGGCATATTTCATTGTCATTTTATTACACATATAAAACTTTTTTTTTTTCGATAAAGGTGTTCTGCAGAGTAAAATTCTGCGCGGAATTTTTTTATTTTTGAGTTTCTTTCATATTATTTTTTGCTTATTTCACTGTTTGTAAGATGAAAAGTTTTGCATGTTTTTTTTCTTCAACAGAAAGTTGGTTAATTTTTTTATTAAAAGTTATGTTCTGTTAAGTTAAATGGCTGCGATGTGACTGCTGACACATTTTCTCAGAAGATTCCTAAAGTATCATAACATTTCAATATTTCAGAAAAAGAATCATTCAAACTATCGAGTAAGAAACTGTTTAAAAAATTTTAATTTTATTGTAGAATTTTTATATAAATTTTATGTAGTTATGGTGGTTGTTAAGAAGGGAGATAGAAATTATGCTTTAACAAATGTTTAATGCAATTCTCATGCAACCAGTTTGCTAAAAATTCAAGATGTGTATGTTTTTCTGGAGATACATCAGGGCCGTATGCAAGGGAGAGTTGGAATCTTAACAAAGAGGAAAAAGTTGGAAGAACTTATGCAGCCATCGGTCCCAGGTGTATCTTTTAGTCATTTTTCCGGTACGTTTAAAAGTCAGTAAAAGGCTGGTCGCATAGCGGCTAGTTATAATTATACAAATCTTAAATCATTCAATTAAAAAATTTAATTGCATAAAAATTTACCTGATAACAAGTAATAAGTAAAGCAGCCCAGACAAAAACTCCTGAAATAGTTTGTGCAGCAACAGTCTGAAGAAAAATGGGTGGAATAACAGTTTCATTAAAATTTGATTTATTTTGTGGCATAGGAAAGACATCTGAGATGTCACTTTGTGGAGGGACAGCCATGAAATGTCTCCTAGGCTGCAGATAATCAGCTGACAAACTCATCCTGAGAAAGAAAGTACACATTTTAACAACATAAATTTAGTACCTCATGAATTGCTACACAAAACAATAAATAAAATAATTATTACAATTGATCAAAAATTGCAATCTAAAAATTTCAGAAGATCTGGAAAAATTTTCCATTAAAATTAAAATAAGTTTAAGAGTATATTTAAAAAAATTAGAATATGTAAAAAGCATAAAATTAAAATGAAATTACAGTCCAATATTGATATGCAAATTTTGGATTAACACCCAAAAGAATTTTAATGAAAGCAATTATGATAGGCCCACTAGTTTAAAAATTAGTCTCCCAGAAATTAAAGAACATACTATATTATACTCAAAATCGGTTATTCTAAATGATCAAGAAAAGATTTAATCTTTCAAGGGGCAGCTGTACATTTTTTAGCGGAATCGCTTGTGTGTGAAGCTTGAAACACTACTTCTCTCATGTGGCAATACATTTTATTTTACCAGAACATGAAATTTGCAAACTGAAAAACACCATATACCTTGAGATTTCTTTTGAGGTGTTTAATAATATTACTAAATTTCAAAATCAACCCCTCCACACTCCAAAATAAAATAGTCCATAAGGTTAGTCATTTATTTCATCAACTGAATTTGCAAGCAAACAGTGAAATTTGAGTTTTCAACAATTCTTTCGATTTATTACTTTATATTTATATATTAATGCAACCACTTGCATTAATACTTACATATTAATGCAACCACCTTGGCAATTCTTTACACATGAAAATGTAAAAGTTATTTATTGGGTGCAAGTTGGAGATTTTTGGTAGCTTTTATTTTTTTAATTTATTTATTTATTTATTTTAAGAAAGATTCCCAAACTATTGATATTTAACTTAAGTCAGTAAAACATTAACAACACATGAAAAGAAAATATATTTTAGCAATTTAAAATACAAATCTGAATTATTAAATGAGGATTATGTCTTAAAAACATCAGAGAATTGTGCAGACTCAGCTTCGTGCAACCCTTGGCAACAACAGCTAACTAAGAAATGCATTTCCTCACTGAGAAAGTTTTCAGCAAAATTCTGCATCCTTGCAGAACTTTTACTGCAGTTTCAGTGCCGCCAAGCTCATATTTTAAAACTAAGTTTAACGCAAAAGATATCACCATTTGTTTATAAACACTAACGGAACTTCGAATATAACAAAAAGGGATGCATACAAAAATGTTGCCATTGCTTGACTGAAGGATTGTTATGAGCACTGATACTGGAGGCATGGTTATGTGCATGGTTGCCAGACTTTGGCACATTCTGAAAAGTTGGTGATTCCTACTAAGGTCATTGTGTTAATACACTGTTATTGATTGCAATACCAAGAAAGACAAGAGATATCACAACAAAATTTATTTAGTTGATAATACGTTGACCAAGTATCAAATGATTCAATTTATAGACTTCTGTGAAGTGTCCTTCCAGAATGAGTAGCCAGAGTAGCCGCCATAGTTGGAGATCACCGCTGCCACACGCCTCGGCATTGATTCAAAGAGACTTTGGATGTGTTCTTCGGGTACAGCAGACCAAGCAGCTTCCACACGTTGCCAAAGTTGATCTGGTGTGGCAGCTTGGGATGTAATCTGGGTTAACTGTTAAGCAACCATGGACCACATGTTTTCTATCAGCGAAAGATCCAGAGAGCGAGCCGGCCAGGGAAGCAATTCAATCTGGCGATTAACGAAGAACCCTTGGACAATGCGTGCCACATGTGGTCACGCATTATCCTGTTGAAATATAGCTGTGGGCAAGCCCTGAAGGTAAGGAAGGACAACTGACTCCAACACCTCGGAGATGAAGAGCTGTCTGTTTACAGCTCTTCATCTCCGAGGTGTACCGGCAATGCGAACTAGAGGAGTGCGAGAGTGATATCCAATACCACCCCATAACCATAATACCTGGTGCAGGACCAGTGTGGCGGTGCATAACGCAGCTGTTCAGCATCCTCTCTCCACGGTGTCTCCAGATTCGAATCCGACCATCGTGTTGTTGCAGACAGAAGCATGATTTGTTAGTAAAGGCAATTTCATTCCATTCTGCCATCCACATCCTTCTTTCATCGCACCATTGGCTGCGAAGAAGTCAAGTCTGTGGTTCCGCGTCAAGGGTAGACGAAGCAATGGACGTCTTGTGAACAGACCACTCTGCTGTAAACGGCACACGCAGAACTGGATGCTGCGTTACAGACTGAATGTGCTGTGCAATGGTTCGTGACGTGATCCGTCACTGCCATGCGCACAATGTTCCTGTCATCACGTGAAGTGGTGCGCTGAGGTGGATGTGATCGAACACGCTGATCCGTCATAGTCTTCTGCATCCAATGGTCACATATCCGCATTACAGTGGCTTGGGTTTGTCCAACACGACTACCGATTTCCCCGAAAGATAATCCGCACTCTAGGTAGGCCACCATCATTCCTCTGTCGAACTCGGCTACTTGATCAAACGATGATCGCTGTTTACTACGAGGCATAATTGATCTTTTTTTTTTTTTTTTTTTTTTTTTTTTTTTTTTTTGAAAAACTTCAAGAAAAACCCAATTGCCGAACTTGAAATCGTCAAAAACTCCAAGCTTGAATAGGGCTTTGAAGTGGCGCCACAGGCGTGTGTGATGTGCGTCTGCACTGAAATTCTAATCATTTGCATATCTCACTTCCGCTAATGCATGTTGTAAATTTCATGTTATTTGCAGCTTCTTTCAGGGTGTTGCATTTAAGGTGGCCAGCAGTGTATGTACATACCCTTTACTCTGCATGCAGCATCAGTTCTTCTATTGGTAATTTATTTCAGTCGCAGGCACTTAGCCAACAACTATCAGTTCACAAGGCATTTGGCCAATGGGTTTATTTAGTCAGCAAGATGTTTAGTGGCATACCTGCCAACCTCTAAAGATAAAAATTCAGAAGATTTCTCCCCCAAATTCAGAAGATTTCTCCAAAATTCAGAAGAACACGAAGAATTAATATCATGCTTTGATATTAAAAAAATAACAATTTATACAAATAGAAAAAAGAAAATTGTATTTACATTAGTAAATCTCAATTAAATAGTAACTAAAAAATTTATTAGGAAACATAAAACAAGAACTTAATGTTACACAAAAAAATTATTGCAATGAATTTAGAGTGCATTTTTTGGCTTTAGCCAAAAAGTCTTTGGAAAATTTCCTGCCATAACAATTCGTTTCCTCATAACGTTTAGCAATTAAAATGTTTTCTGGAGTTTTTCATGAAATTGAAGAACGAAACATAGTTTTGTTTTTCTTCACAACACTGAAGACTCTCTCGCACTCAGCATTACTGTGTGGAATTACGATAATAGCACATAAAACTCTTGCTAGTCTATCATATTTTGGTGTTCCGTCAGCTCTTTTTATTCTTTTTAAGGTACCAACGAGGACATCAAGTCTAGCTTCTCCAGAACTGGCAAAGTCTTCAAACTGTGCAGCAGAAAATTGGTTCTGTAGTTCATCTAAAGCATCATTATGGCATTCATTTTCTTTAATTCTTAACAAAAATGGAAATTAATTACCAAGGAGGCAATATTTTCCCCCCGTAGCGTCTCCATTTAACAATGGAAGACGCAAAAGATGAGTTTTCATTATATTAGAAACATCACAGAAATATGTGACAACGATGGGGTAAAGCTTCCAATCGCTGTCGTTGCTGCCATCGATTGACACCGAAAATGCTGAATTCTGGAGTGCAGCTATCGTTTTACTTTGTGCATCGCAAGCAATTTTGTTCACAATAGAAGATAATTTTGTTCACAATAGAAGATGTTTTTGTGCGAGCACAAGCATATTTCTGAGCAATCTTGGAGTCAAACATCCGTCTGAAAAGTTGACCGGCGTGATCGGCAGTGCTTAGCGGCACGTTGTGTTCGATGAGGAATGCAGTAATGCCAAAATGACATCAGCATCACTCTGCCAAAATGACATCAGCATCCGAATTCGTAGCCGAATTTGAAAAAAAATCATCCACTTTCTTTGACGTTGTCGAAGCTGACACATTAACTTCATGCTTTTTAGACTTAACATGCTTCACAATGCCGCTTCTTCCACCGTGACTTATTATGAAGTCACACATGCACACGTTGCAAAATGCATAGTTATTTCCTTTGAAGGATTCTTTAATTGTTGGAAATTCGGCTTTGTAGGCAGGCCGAAAATATTGAGAATACGGTTTTTTTGAACTCATTTCGTAACAACGACGTATTAAGAAAATTCGTAGCACGTGCAAACAAAAAAAAAAAGAATGCGACAAAAAATAAATAAATAAATAAAACAGAATGCGGCAATGCATGCTTGCTGAGTAATTTCCTTGCTGCTGAAGCGAAACGCGAAAAAAATAATCTGGCGCCCACAAAGAAAAAGAAAAGAGTGGGAGAAACAAGTTCAGCGCATTGGATTGGCTGGTTAAGCGGCGAGTTGGGAGAAACCGCAGGTTACTGGATTCGAAGTAGTCGGTAGTAAAACACGATGCAATCGGCAAAAAATTCTAAAATTTCGACAAAAATCACTAAAAACACTTGAAAAAGGAAAAAAATCGTAAAAAATGGATTACGATAGTAAAGTTATAAAAACAAACGCATTTTCGTAAAAATTACGAAAAATTCGTAAAAGTTGGCAGGTATGTTAGTGGGCATATCGACTTAAATGATACGTCTATTTTGCCAAAAGGACATTTAGTTTACAGTAAAAACATGCAACGTTTTTGGAAAATCTGAAAAAAACATTTATCCAACCAAAGACTGTTCCATGCCACACTGCAGGAAATTTTCAGATAAATACCACTCTTTTTTTTTTTTTTTTTTTTTCCATTTATTTAATGCTACACATAGTATAAAATACTAAATTAGACACACACACACACACAAAAAAAAAAAAAAAAAAAAAGCAATTTCAGGTTGGGTAGACTTTGAATAAAATTCTATCTATTTTGAAGATGATCAGACATACATGTTCATA